GCGGGGCTGGGTGTGAATTCGTGTGGGGGTCCAGGGAAAAGTGGAAACGGGGCCGCAATTTTTTTTTCAAGATCCTGAAAAGAAATTTGTGGGAGTCCTTGCAAATATTCGAATTCGACCTCGGACGTTGGCAAGGACATCCCCCCATTCAGGCGCGGCCAATGGCCATTTCCAACCTACTGGTGCCGCCAAAGCGTGGAAGCGCAGCCATCCGGGAGCGAGAGCAGATCGTTAGTGCAGAATCTCAATCTTTGTTGTTCTTGAGGAACTGTATTTTTTTCTATTGGTGATGCTTGTCCGTGCAGAAGCCCAATTTTATTTTCAAAGGCGGTGAACCGTTCAGGCTTTGGCCTTGTGTCAGAATGTAGAAGGGGCAAATTTTGTTGTTTATGGTATAGTTGAACCCGTGTTTTCAAACTGACAATCTGGTAAGGGGGCTTGCAACACAGCGTTTCGAAACGAGGCATTTTCCGAAAGTTGAGAGACGGAATCCGAAAGGTGTACTTTTGAAAGGAAACTCCCCTTCGCCACACAGACTTTCGGTAAAACAGCGAGGTTTCAATATGCACGTTAGGGCCTCGCTACAGTACGTTCGCCATGTGTGAAACGAGGGTTTGAATCCTCCCCTTGAACACGGAAAAATACACCAGAATGATTTTTGCGTTTTGAATCCTCCCCTTGAACACGGAAAAATACACCAGAATGATTTTTGCGTTTTGTGCATGTCGAGAGCAGCGGAGCCAGGCCCATGCGGCCACCGTCTGCATTCACCAATTTGTTTTTACCCTTCTCCGTACAGTTCTAATTTTTTTATTTTATTTTTTTGCATCGTTGTTTTTTTTTCACCTTTTTCTTTTTGACCTGATTTTTTTGTATCTTTCTATTGTCTCACTTGTTTCGATAGAAAAAAAAAAAAAAAAAAAAGATCTCACTACGTAGATGGGATTATTAAAACCGACTGCCAGTTTCTCATAGAGCGTACTCACACTAGGACTTTTCTGGATGTATCTGACTGCAATTACGGCCCGCGGTTGTGCAACTGACCGCAGTTCTGTCGAAAACTTAGGAGAAAAAGTCATCGTCTACCAATGGGCCTACCTCAGTCGTTACACCGACGAACCGTTGAAATATGAATCAGACCCAAGTTCGAATCAAGATACCAAAAGATGACCAGCATAAATTCTTTCTGAATTACAGGGGCCAGTCAGTCCAACGATGATGATCTCAAGGTCGTCCCCCTTTATAAAAAAAAAGCAAAGGAAAAAAAAAGGGAAAAAAAACGAAAAGTCCTCGTCTGAGCATGCCCTCAACGCCTGAATCGGGATACGTTTTTCGCAGAGATGCAGAAAAGAAGATCATTCCCAATTTTCTGCACCTCTCCACAAACACCATCCAGATTCCGGCGCTAAATTCAATCCTCTTTGCGAGGGGGAAAGCACCCCAGGAGTGAGCAAGGATGACACACACAAATAGACAAGTCGAAAAATGATTAACCCCCTTCTATTGTTATGAGAGTGCTCCATGCTTTCCCCCCAAAAAAAGAAAAAAAAAAGGAGTGCTCCATGCATTGACCTCGAAATATCGAGGAAGGAGGAGCGCACACACACACACACACACACAGAGAGAGAGAGAGAGAGAGAGAGAGAGAGAGAGAGAGAGAGAGAGAGAGAGAGAGAGAGAGAGAGCAGGTAAGTCTCCAACCTTGCGGCTGGCCTCATGGTACTTCCATCAATAGGATGAGCACAATCTTGTCCAGTTGATGCAGCTCAGTGGTTAGAGCACCAGTTGGACATGCGCATTGTGGTATAAGGTTGCCGGTTCAAAACCCTGCAGCCTTGCGCATGGACACCGGCAGCGCATTAGATTGACTCACGGCTTGACACACACTCCCTTGGGCTGACGCATGGTACTATTACAGACACTGCCTGCACACCACTATTACGGACACTGCCTGCACACCACCCAAAGGTTGTTCATGGTGTTGTATGTTGGTTTTGGGTTTCACCTGGGTTGCTTGGAGGTGTTGGTCTTGGGTGTTCTGTTGATCTCCCCAGTCTGGCGCGTTACACGTCCGTGCCATTTCCACTAGTTATTCACATAGTAGAGTCATCCGATTACATGTTACAAGGTCACGGGTTCGAGCTTGGTTTGGACCTTGGGGGGGGCCTTGTCCAGCTTACCCCGTTCTCTCTTTGATATACACACATGATGCTGCCTATACATCTCGATACATTGATTCACAGAGCACACACAGCCTTCAGGCATATACATAGCTTGCAAATTATACATGCATGGCCTACGGCCTACATACACAAGTTTCCAGACATGGCGCTGTATGTACATCTTGATACATAGATACACGGAGCATACATAGCCTTCGGGTATACATATAGATTGCGAACTACACAACTATCAGACTGGGGGGGCCTACTCACTGGGTGGGGTCTACTATCTGCAGTAGGGACATGTATGGGCCACCAGAGTTCCTACTGATACTCGGATAGAACTGACCAGTGGCTATATATAAGGCTTAGACCCTTGGGTAAGGGTAGGGGTTTAAGTCGCTCAGGCCCTGCGGTGAACCCACCAGGTGTGGTGCTCCACCTGGGATAGAGATGGAGATGGAGGATGCCGGGGGAGCGAGATGGCACAGCGCAGCTCCCACGCTAGACTCCAACGCACGTACTCCAAGATGTGCGAATGTAGAATGATCTCACAAACAGACAACAGTTGGGGTATACCCCAGCGGACTGACCGGACCAGATTGGACTGGCTGGTACCGACAGAGGTACCGGCCTGGGCTGGACTACCCCGAATATAACACAGGCCTGTGAGAACAGGCCAAGGGGCTGGTCTCACAGGCCAACCAGAGGTCCGCTACACGATCCTCGGCCTGCGATGGATCACCTAGATACAAGCACGCTTCCGCCAAGAAGCGGAACTCTATCAAAGAAAAAGAAAACCTGAGTAGTCTAGGATGTGGAGCAAGCTCCATGCTGAGTCCATGCGATGCAACCTACGATAGGAAATGTCACAAAAACAGCAATTTCACAGCCAACAGCCTAACTGAAAGCAGAAGCAACTAACTAGGATACATGTCATAGGAAAGCAGAAAGTAATGACAACTAGATCCTAGAATGTTGGAGGCAGTAGCCTCAGTCTGGAAACAGCTGACTAGTGTATAAGTCCTAAGAATAACAAAAGCAGAACAACAAAATCCTAGAAATGTCAGAGGCAGTAGCCTAAGTCTGAGAGCAACAAAGCAACAACAAGACAACCATATGTCGCAGGAGGAGTTTGTCGCAAACCAAAGGATGGGATGATCTCTGAGGGTGGCGAATGCGGCCTAAGGGTCGATAACTCCTAAGGGCATCCACACAAAATGACAAGGAGGCACATGTCATGAGGCTCAATGAGGGTAGGGAACTAGGAGCCAACAGAACCAATGACCCTAACAGATAGACCATCAGGGCGAGTAATGCTCGACTAAAGGGGTGACCGCTATGGAGGGTCGACCATGCAAGGGAACAAGGGAGCCTGGTATACTGGGCGCACCTAGATGAAGCATGCGAGGCTGCCTAACTAGGGCGTGAGGGCCGGCAGAGGATAAAAAAAGTGATGGGTAAGGGAATCATGCAAATGACTCCTAAGGAGGGGGAAGTCGGAGCTGGATCCGTAAGCTGGGAAGCCAAGGCAACGCTACGGTCCCGATGCCTATGCGTATATCAAGGGAGAGCCCAACTCAGAGGAACCCGGCGAAGGGAGACCATCATGTGACACAACCAGGGTATTGTACAGGGTAAGGTGGTAAGAGAGCGACGACGTCTGAAGTAGGCAGAGCTGATCGTGACGAAGTCCATGAAGCTGCCAATGACGTCCATGATGAGAAGTCCGGAATGTCATCGAGGAAGAGCCGCAACGTCGACGAGCTGAAGTGGCAAAACTGAAGTGGATGGAGTGCTGAGAAGTCAAAGACGTGGGAAGAGAAGTCAGAGTCAATCGTCGTATGAGCAGGACGTCAACGAGTGCGCTGTGGATGCTCAGAAGCATCCGACTGCTGCTGAAGGTCTGCCTCAGATGGAGCAGGCTCAACTTCAGCGGTCTCCTCCGCCGAGGGAGGAGGAGGGTCAGTGGGCTGAGGAGGAGCAGTCAACCCAGCACAACGAGCACGGTCATAGGCAGGCACCAACATGCGAGCGTGCTGCAAGTGCTCGAGGGGCTCCCAAGTAGCCTCCTCATCAGGGTAACCCTTCCAACGTACGAGATACTCGACATAAGGAGGGTTGTCGTCGGTGACTCGGCGACCTATGATGTCTGAAACGAGGAACTCCTCGTGGCCGTCCACCACGATGGGTGGAGGGCGCTCGTATGGTCGTCTGGTGAAACGCTCAGACGGTCTGTGGCAGGGGCGCAGTAACGAAACGTGGTTGACATCGTGCACACGAGCCTAGTGTAGTTAGTCGGGCAACTTCACCCGGAAGTTGACCGGGCTAGAAGTCGTATCAGAACCGACGGCCAGGAGAATGCGGCATGAGCCAAAGAAGCGACGCCGAAACTTTCGAAGCGTGTCCGCTTCGAGCTGTAAGTGGCGAGTGTCGATAAGCACATCATCACCGACTTTGAATGGATGATTCATCCTTGATCGGTTCGCACGTGCTGCCATGCGAGTCTGGGAAGCGGCTATGTGCTCATGTGCGGTCTTCATGATCGACGTCATGTGTGCAACCCAATCATCCAGTGTGGGACAACTCGTGTCGGGGTGCATCTGTGACGGTCGAAGGAAATCCGCGGAAACACGTGGGGAGCCGAGGTCGCAATAGTAAGGCGACATCCACGTGGTTGGCAAGACGGCATGGTTGTAGGCTATCTCCGCGTGGGCAAGATGGAGATCCCACTGGTGGTCGTCACGAACAATCTTTCAGAGAATATCTCCGAGAGTGTTGTTCGTGACCTCGGTCTGACCATCAGTCTGGGGATGGTAAGACGATCAGAAGCGGAACTGGGTGTCGTAAACCTCGTAGAGCCAATGCCAGACTCGGCTGGTAAAGCGCGGGTCACAGTCAGATATGATGCCCAAAGGTAAGTCGTAGTCACGCACGACTCGGTCAAACACGATGTCGGCAACCTCACGTGCACTGATGGCATAGCGACACAGAACAAAGAGTGTGCGCTTCGTGAAGTGGTCAACGACGGCCAGGATAGCATCATGACCGCGGGGAGTCGGAGGACGAAGAGGACCGATAAAGTCCACCGAGATGGACTGCCAACGACCCTCAGGCATAGGAAGACGTTGGAGCAAACCATAAGGCAGGTGGTTCACACTGTTCACCTCCTGACATGTGGGACACTCTGCGACGTAGTCCTTCACAAAGTCCTTGCGCTTCAGCCAGACGTACAGGCGGCTCACACGAGCCAACGTCTTGTGGAAGCCCATATGACCAGCGGTTGCCTGGTCATGGAACTCTGCTACTGCCCGGACACGTAGATGTCCAAGAGAGGGAACGCAAATACGGGGCTCTCTGGTGCCCTGTGAACCGTGCCAGTACACAAGACCGTTGTCCTCGAGAGAGTAGTTCGAGACGGTCTTGCCACTCCGATGGGTCACATGGATGATGCGATAGTCGGGGCAGTGGCGGTACYGAGTGCGAAACTCGTCGATCATCGAGTGGTGGACGGTGGTGACCGAGATGGCAGCGAGCTGGATCTGCTCCTGATCATGGTCAGGGCGTCGGGATAAGGCATCTGCGACCCGATTAGTCTCACCCTTGATGTGCTCAGTTGTGAAACTAAACTCGAATAGGTCGCGCCACCTTCGAGCCTGTCGCGGAGTGAGCTTCGATTTTGTCAGAAAAGCCTGGACAACAGAGTTGTCCGTGCGCACCGTGAATGGTGCCCCGTGCAGGTAGTGACGTTAGTGTCGAGCGGCATAAACTACTGCGAGAACCTCACGTTCATTAGCAGTGTAGTTTATCTCGGCCGGCAGGAGCTGACGGGAGTACAAGGCTATCAGACAATCACCTGAGCGAGACTGGACAGTGTCGTCCTTGGCGATGGTAGGAGAATAGTCAATAGAAGGCTCGTCAGTAGCTAGACGAGTAGGCGTCAGGCGTAAAGCAGTGGTAGGGGTAGGGGGTGGGAAGCGAGGGATACGAGGACGAGAAGAATCAGGACGGGAGGGGAAAATCTGAGAAAGCATTGCTCCTACAGCAAAGTCTGACGCATCGGTGGTAAGGATAAAAGGGCGATCAAAATCGGGTAGGTGAAGAACCGGTGCACATGTCACCGCCTTCTTGAGGGCGCGGAAGGTGTCCTCGTGGAAGGGTGTCCAAGCCCACAGCGGGTTCTTCCAGAGGAGGGTGGAGGTAAGGACGTAGGAATACCTAGCGTATCCCTGGATGAAATTACTATAGTAGCTCGTGAGGCCTGGGAAGCGGTGAAGCTGCTTGGCGGATGTGGGGACGGGCCACTCCGCAATAGCAGTGATCTTCGCGTCTTCCATGCGGAGACCCTGTTCAGACACGTAGTGTCCTAAGAAATCCACTTTGTGCTGGGCAAAGCGGCACTTGCTCAGCATGGCATAAAAGCCATGTCTGCGCAAGCAATCAAGGACGTCGCGGAGGTGTCTGAGATGCTCCTCAAGGGTATGACTGTAGATCAGGATATCATCGAGGTAGACAAGAACGTACTGCTCCAGGATGTCCCTGAAGATGTCGTTCATCGCCCTCTGGAAGGTAGCGGGTGCGTTGGTGAGGCCGAATGGCATCACCGTAAACTCGTAGTGGCCGAAGCGCGATCGGAACGCTATCTTCGGCTGGTCCGCTGCAGCGACGCGGATATGATGGTAACCGCTATGAAGATCGATCTTCGTAAAGAAGCGGTTGCCTGCTAGGCAGTCGAACAGTTGAAACGAGGCATGGGGTAACTGTTCTTAACCGTGTAGTGGTTGAGACTGCGATAGTCGATGCAGAGACAGAGAGTTCCATCCGCTTTGCCAGCAAAGAGGACGGGTGCACCCCACGGGGAGTTGCTGGGTTTAGTGAAACCCAGTCTCAGGAGCTCCTCAAGCTGACGCTCGAGTTCGGTGGCCTCGGGATCGAGAGTCTGTAGGGTGTCTGGTGGTGAACACGATAGTTAGGCACAAGCTGGATGGAGTGCTCGTCATCGCGCATCGGTGGAATGTCGGCGTTCGAGAACGACGGTGGGAAAACGTCGTGGTACTCTCGAATGAGGTCACAAACTGCGAGCTCCAGGTCGGCCGTATAGCGTGCGAGTTCCTCAACGTCAGCGTCAGCGCGCGACGGCGGGGTGGACTCGACGGACGGTGGAGGGAGGGAAGTAAAGATGGGAGCCATGGAGATAGAAGGAGGATATGGCTCCGGAGAGATGAGCTCGACGTCGGGACAGGGTGGATTATAGTGCAAGAGATCTGTAACGTTCACCGTAGAGAAGGTGACGTCATCCTGTCGGATGAAGTGAGCGAACTGCCGAGGCGATATGACAGTGATAGTAGGAGATGGTGTGGGTATGGAAGGCTCCGGGGGAGGAGGGTCGGGGCGTGGTGTCACGGTGGTACCTATGAAAGGTGCGTGGTACGTCTGTCCACAACTTCTTTTTGAGAACGAGACTGTTGGTCGCCCAATCGGCCTCAGTGCTGCGGAACCGACGAGACCACGGAGTGCCGAGAATGAAGTCACACCCCGTCTCCATCACATCGAAATGTGTAGAGGAGCGGTGGCGACGAGACGCTGGGGGACGATCAGTCGGCTCGAGAGTGAGAAAGAAAGAGAGGTCGGTGACCGTCTGATCGAAGGAGCGCTGGGTCTTGTCATCCCCTAGGATGACAGAGATGGGAGTCGGAGACCCTGTCGTGGGTAAGCGGGCTTCTTTCACAACACGTGGATGAATGAAGTCGCCCTGAGAACCGGAATCCCACAGCGCTGGGTACACCCTCGTGGAGGTCTCCAGTCGTACTGGAATGATCGGGAGGGTGCGATCACGGTCAGAGAGGATGACGAGAAGGCGACGCAGTGCAGCGACATCGAGGGTGAGTCGCTCCTTACGAGCCTGGAGCATGCTCAAGTCCAGAAGAGAGGACGCAACGTCCTCGCGAGTCGCAAGCTGCTCGCTGCAACGGGCTGAGCGAATGGCTCGACGCGTCACTAGTCGCGGAGGGGTAGGAGGGGAGACGGTGGTCTGTGGAGGCACAGACGGTACCACGACAGAGGGCTGAGTACACTCTGTCGGGTCCTATGATACCTAAGCTCCACTAGCGAGAGGGGCGAACCACGACGGAGATGTCGGGAAGCCAACTACTAAGGAGGGCGCAGGTGTACACTGCACCGTGGCTAGGAGGCGCTGCAGGGGTGCGAGGCGCCGCGGGGGGACTGAGCACGACGCCGGCGGGAAAGGTCGGCGTAGTGGCGGTCGAGGGCGACGGTGTAAGGGCACCACGAGGAGGTATGACCGTCCTGGTGGCATCGCAAATTCCCACGCTGGCCCAAAATGGTCGCTCCTCGGTGGAAAGGGCACCGTAAGGAGGGACAAAGCCCTGAGGGAGGCCCTGTTGAGGGACCTCGGGGGCGACGCACCAGCGTGACCAGGGCGGCTGAGTGCCCGAGAGAGGGTGGAGAGGGCGAGCTGGAGGCGCTCGGCTACAGGGAGGGTAGAGTCCTCCAGGTGGTAATGGACGGCCTCACAGAGGTCGAGGTCGTCGCTATGGTCACCCTCAGGCGACAGCGGGGCAACAACGTCCTGCTCACCATATTCGAGCGCGCTGAAGCGGCGCGAGAAGTGGTGGCCCTGCTGCGCGGAACAACGGGAGCGATCGTGAAAAGGGGAACCGCGCTGGGAAGTGTCGTGAGAGGAGGAGGGGGCGTAGCCAGTACGTTGAGGCTGGGAGGAGGGAGCGGGGTGAAGACGGGCCCGCATTCACTGATGGGTCATGGCTGCCTCGTAAGCCTGCGGGCCGATGTGAACTCGCACCGCCATAATTCGGAACGGTACTCAAGGGGAAGGTTGGCCAAGAAACGATCGATGAGGGCATCCTCTGGGAGGAACGCCACATCACAAATGAGGCGGGCATCCTGAAAGACCTGGATGTGGCGGTTCAGGCTGGCATCGCCACCATAGCCGGACCAACGTGTGCTGACGACACGCTCGAAGGCGTCAGTGACGTCACATCGGGCTCCAAAGCGATCCTCGAGGAACGCCTGAAAACCCGTGAAGGTCAGGGTCCGACCCTCACGAAGGGAGTGCGCGTAGAAATCCTCCCAGGCATCGAAAGGACCTCCACGCAGGTGCGTGGAGAGGTGAGTCACCGACGTGTCGGGTGGGGCGCCCATGAGCTGGAGCGTGCGGGTAGCGGACTGCAGCCACCGAGACATGCGTATCCCTGTACCGTGGTACAAGGCAATGTCCGTCAAGCGGACGAATGGCGCGCCACCGTTTTGGCGGCGAGGGGACCGAGGAGCAGGGGTCTGTGCTACGGCTGAGTAAGTCGGCACAAGTCCCGGAGAAGGGGGCGCAACTGACTGTACACCCAGGCCGCATGTGGGAGCGGTGGGGGCAACAGCGGCAGGCTGCGACGGAGTTGCGGTATGAGAGGTCGCAGCAACCGAGGGAATAGGAAGAAGGTAGCATGGGGGTGGATAGGGTGCAGGGCGAGGGAAGCGAGCCTGCATGCAAGGAAGAGTAGAGGAAGAAGGGGGTGCGCCCGAAGGCGCGGCCACCTATGAAGGTAGGGGTGGCTGAAGGCGTAAAAGGGTGAGGTCGGCCTGGGTCTGGGCAAGATCGTCCTCAAGACGTCGAACGTAGATTGAGTGAGGGGTGGCAGGAGTAGACGCACGAGCGGCGTGAGGCATCCTATAAGGGGGAGCGGGAAGTGGCGCTGCGGTCGTGCGAATGGCGGGGAGAAGCGTTGCACTCGAAAAAGTTGAGACCACGACAGCGGGTTGTGGTCCCGTGGCCGTAGTGACCGGAATTTGGGCGGGTGCACCCATAGAGTGAGGGAAGGTCTCGCTCGTGGCGGCCGTCGCACTAGGAGCGTGGACGGTCACCAAGATGGTCGGGTCGGAGGCAGCGGAGGAGGAAGCTCCGTCGTGGCCACCATGTCGAAGGACGGGGGACCCTGACTGGGAGCCAGGGGAAGAGAGAGGGTGGAGAGAGGAAGGACGACCAACGTCCGGGAGTTGCTGCAGGCCACCGGTAAGAGTCGCCACCTGCGCCTGTAAAGGCGCAAAGAGGGAGGTGAGGAAGGTGTGCAGATCCCCCTGGGGCCGAGGGCCCTCGTCCGCCGGCACGGGTACGGAGCCCGGTGTCGAGGTTGTCGCCGTCTTCGCGGCTTGTGACACACCGTCGGCCATGGGGAGGTGACGGGTCGGACTGGAGGGGGCTAGAGTAGGTCCGCGTGAGCGGAGGGCGTAGGGGGGGGTCCGTGGTAAAAAGCGACGGGCGACGCTAGAGAGTCAAGCGCGGGCGCCCGCAAAGGGGGAACGGTGGTTCGGGTCCAGGGTGCCCAAATGGAAAGGGGGAGTAGAGGGGGGTTTAAAAAAACCCTAAACCCTAGAAAAACCCTAAGAGAACCCTAACCGGGGTTTGAGTGGTTAGGGTAGGGTACCGGTGACCTAATCAAGAAAATAAAATAGCAAGCATGGGAGGGAAGGCGGGAGGAAAAATAAATAAACAGTGAAATTTTGAGAGAAATGTGAAAATAAATAAATAAATAATAATAAAAATAATTAAAAAAATAAGTAAACAAAATGTGAAGAGAGGAGTAATATTTATTTTTTTGAAAATTTCGATAGCATTTCCCTACCCCCCATGGGGTCAAGAATGTGCCAATGGAAAGGACAGACCAAGATAAGCACACTAAGTTTCAAAATGTCGAAAATTAAAAATTTCAGAAAATAAATAAAGAAATAAGAAAGAGAAATAAATAAATAAATAAATAAATAAGTAGATGAGGAGGTGAAGAAAAATGAAGTGTCTCGAAACTGGGTAATGCTCCCAGATGATCGGTGTTTCCGGCTAGAATGTGAGGACCCCGGCCTCAAGTTCTATGATTAATATAAGCCTTGGGCACCGGATCCGTGTTGTGGAAAAAAAAAAAATAATAATAATAAATAATAATAATAATAAATAATAATAATAATAAATAATAATAATAATAAAAATGAAGTGTCTGATTTTTCAAAAATTTCAGCAGCATTTCCTTACCCCCATGGGGTCGAAGTGTGCCGTCAAGAAGAAAGGCCAAGTAAAATGAGAAGATTTTGCCGACACTTCGCTACCCGCAAGGGGTCAAAATGTATTGAAAAAGATAAAGTAAAAGAAAAAACAGAAAATTTCGGCAGCACTTCGTTACCCCCACGGGGTCGAAATGTGTGCCGAAAGACTAACTCCTAATCAGATGTAAGGGTGCTGCAAAGAAATTCTGATTTTCAGAATAAATAAAATAAAATAAATCAGAAAATAAGAAAAGTGGGGAATGACATAATTCGAATTTTTGGAAAAAAGGGAGGAAATATAAATCAAAAGAAAGATAAAAAGAAGAAAAAACAAAAAATTTTGAAGTTGCGGGGAAGGGGGAAGTGATGGGGTTTTAGTTGGGGGAGAGGAGGGTGAGAGAATGGGAAAGAAAGGGATGGGAAAGGTGGGGAGGGATCAAGAAGCAAAGAGAAAAGAGGAGAAAGAAAAGAAAATAAATGAATNTGAATAAAGTAGAGTAAAATAGTGGGTGGTGGGAGAAAAGGCGGGGTGGGGAGAGGGGTATGAGTGGTGAGGGTGATTAGAAGGAAGTGAGTGAGGCAGAAGAGCAAAAGTAGAGGGGGTGAGTAAGAGGAGAGAGAAAAGGTAGAGGAAGTGGGTTAGTAGGGAGAGGGAAGAGAGGGGGATGATACCTGGCCCTTGGTGTCTCCAAGGCCACAAGGTATACCAAGAGCAGGAGGGTCTTGGCCTTCACTACAGTAAGTCAGCTAAAGGAGAGAGGCACCAGTACTGCAGATCCAGGGTATGCTGTGTGAGCAGACCCTCACCTGTGTAGAGCAGCCCCCTGATCAGGGGGGTCTTCAGTTCCACAGCAAGCTGCCACGTGCGCAGGCAGCAACAGCCACGGGGGGGGGGGGGGGGGGGGGGGAGATAGCGGCGGCGGGGGCCGGCGGGGGGGGGGGGGGGGGGGGGGGGGGGGGGGGGGGGGGG